AGATAAAATGTGAGCCTTGCGTTTATGTTAAGAGAAGTAATATTAATAGTAATATGACAATTTTGGCTGTATATGTTGATGCTTTTATATTTTCCCGAATAATCCCAAAAAGAAGGAATCTTTGATCAGTTTGTTATCAGAAAACTTTTGTACTAAGAATTTAGGAGAAATTAAAAACTGTTTAGGCATGAATGTACAAAGAAATAGAACAAAGGGTGTTTTGGTGTTAAAACAAACTGAATATATTAAAAGATTATTGACTAGATTTCATATGTTGGAAGCTAAGGATGTTATGACACCCATGACAATAAATGAAAAATTTGATTGTAATTCTCATAAGTTTGACATGAATGAATATAGTTATAGAGAATTAATTGGATCATTAAGGTTTAATTAAGTGTATGTACTAGACCTGACATTTCGTATGGTTGTAGTTTATTAAGTCAATTTAATAATATTTTTAACTAATGTCATTGGGTTGCTGCCAAGAGGGTTCTTCGTTATTTGAAGATAACAATGGACTTTGGACTGGTCTTTAGAAGGTCAGATAGTAAATTTTGTTTTGAGGCTTTTGCAGGTGCTGACTGGGCGAACGACCCTATTGACAGAAAATCATTTAGTGGCTTTTTAGTTAAACTAGATGGCAATACAATAAACTGGGAATGTAAAAAACAGCGCTGTGTCGCTTTGTCTAGTACTGATGCGGAGTATCTTGCTATTAGTGATTGTTGCAGGGACATCCTGTTTCTATGTAACTTTTGGAAAGAATTGACAGGATGGCAGCTACATTTGACGACCTCCTTGGCCGAGTGGTTTGTACGCCGGGTTTCATGGTGTCGCCGACTCTAGAAGTCCCGGGTTCGAATCCCGGTGGGGGCAGATGTTTGTGTGATAAATACGAGCATTTGTACTCCAGTCATGGATGTTTAATATGTATTTCTATATAAATATACTTATATATGTACAGTATAGGCAAACGTAGTGCAGGACGTCCTCAGGCACGATGGAGTGACGATTTGCGCAAGGTGGCTGGCAGGAGCTGGATGCGAGTAGCCCAAGATCGATCTGAGTGGCGTGCAATTGGAGTGGCCTATGTCCAGCTGTGGACTAGGATAGGCTGTTGATGATGATGATGATGATGATGATGATGTACAGTATATATATTCTATCCGTTACCCTAGTATCCCATAACACAAGTCTTATAGTGCTTAGCTTGGGGCTAGGCTAATTGGTGTGAGTGTTGGAAATATTTATTTATTATTATTTATTATTTATTTATTGTAAATTAAGAAATGATAATTTGAGTGCTATTAGGCTTTTAGAATCTAAAGAGTGTCATAAGAGAACAAAGCACATCGATATCAGATATCATTTTGTAAAAGATTTGGTATGTAAAGGTCTTGTTTGTAATACTTATCTGAAGACTGATTGTATGAAAGCTGATATATTAACGAAGGCTTTGTCTCCTGCGAAACATTATGGTTTCATGGATGGTTTAAATGTAATGCCTATGTTTTGAAACATTTAGTTTAAAGTTTGTAGTTAGAGTATATTTGTAAAAATGTTTTTTACTACATCTCTAACTCTATGTATATGCTCTTGTAATGTGTTCATAGGTAATTATTGGTAATATATAGTGTCGGTGAGTGAGGAGCTCAATGGCGCAGGTGGTTAGCGCGTTCGGCTGCGATCGTTGTAGTTAAGCAACTTTCGCAGAGGTCGGTCATTGGATGGGTGACCAAAAAAGCCAAATTTATCTTGAGTTCCTCTGTGCTTCGGAAGGCACGTTAAGCCGTTGTTCCCGGTTGCATCTGCAGTCGTTAGCACCCGCCAATCCGCACTGGGCCCGCGTGGTGGGTCATGGCCCAATCTCCTATTCCATCCATAGGGAAGGCCTGTGTCCCAGCAGTGGGGACATTAAGAGGCTGATGATGATGATGAATGATATAGTGTAAGGGGAAGTGTTAAGATATATTGTTATATGTTGAACTTTAGTACACTATATACTCTGTGGTTGTATATTCCTTTGCTTTACTTTTTATGGAAAAAGAGTGTAAAGGTTTGTCTATGAAGGAAGTAAGTTATGTCGGTCTATCTCACTCTTTGCCTAACCTACAAAATGTGACTGTCGTTCCTTTTTCCACCTTGTGCTCTGTAACAATAATCGTGTGCCGCCATCATACAATTTTTCATTTCATCATCAATATAACAGCCCCACGCTGCTGCACTCGGTCCAGGCCCTGTTGAACAACATTAATATCACTATTGCTGTCTATCCGTCATTAAGATCAAGATTCTTCGTCCAAGGGTTTACCAAAGATAAGTAGAAGTAGTCTTCAAATTTTCACAGAAAACATCTTATTGCTACAAAGCCATAAAAAATGTCAAAAAAACGTATAATTATTTTGACAATTTATATAATTAATTTAAAAAGACCAGGTCCGTGCTAACCTAAAGATATTAAATGAAATATTTGTTATTCAAATGCTTATTCATATGTTTACGACATTCAATTTTCTTATTTATAGCTTACTAGAGGCCGCCCGCTACTTCGTCCGTGTTAACTTTAGATTTTTTGAGAATCCTAGTGTAACCTAAGATTATCAGGAATAAAGAGGTATCCCGTCTCGATCCAGATTAAAAACTATATGTGTGCCAAATTTTATCTAATTCCATCTTTGCGTGATTGAATGACAAACGTACGAACTTTCACATAATAGGGATGATGACTAATTTTTTTTTCTTCGTTTATCAGGTAGATTTTCAAAAAGTATTGGACACGTATTTTTTTTTCACATAATAAAAACATTGCAGAGATATATTGATTTGAAAAGTCGCATGACGTCACGTTTGAGTACACTTATAAGTGAAAATTCACGCAAAAGTGACGTCACGAGCCCCTACTCCCAAACTTTGACGCGCTATAACTTTGTCATTTTTTGGTTGATTGCCCAAAGAAAAAATACGTGTCCATTATTTTTTTATAATCTAACTGACAGACTAAATAGAATTTCGTTTACTGTACCCCGTCATCACCCCTATTGGTAGGATAGGATAGCAAAATTTTCAAAAAAGAACATTGCCAGTCATTCGGCAACATGAGGTGGTTTTAATTCAGTAAGCTTTATCAATCATAACAATATGAAACTGGCACCAAATTAATCATTGAGGAATAGCATCATACTTCCTTTTTTTTAAATAACTACTACCCAATCACTATAACGTAACAGTAACTCGCACTGCAGCTTATTTCGGTTGCAACAATGCGACCCAAACGCTCCTGTCAAATGCATTAACGTGTCTCCATTGAACTGGTCTACGATTCAATTCTATAGAATCGGTAATTAAACTTTGAGACATTGCTGAAGAATAAAAAAAAACCTATATATTGTACCTTCGAAATAATTATACATAAGCACACGGTGAACGAAAATGGAAAATAATAGAACTTTTTGTAGGCTCAGCCTACTCTTTGGGCTCAGCTTTCCATTAGCAGTGGTTGAGTAGCGAGCTGAAATTTTTGTCATGCAAAGTATTAATTATTAGAAACACGTACGCGAAATCTTTTTTGGCAGAAACGAATGGAACTCGAGATTATTTTTTTAGGTTAAAAGTCAATTTTGTCAGCCATTTTGATCAGTGTTGCCATTTTTTCATGCAAAAATTACATGTTTCTCGTTGTCTGTGGTAAAAATATGTTTATTATGTATGCCACAATTTTCACGGCTCGATGCGTGGTATTATGAATTAAAAAAAAGAACCGTGCCAAAAAAAAAGAGGCCGTGCTAGGAAGGCAATCTTTCCAGCACGACAGTCATATCACTAATATCCATATATTTGAAATTTAGAAAAGGAGTAAAAAATAGTAAATATTATAAACTACTAGCTGACCCAACAAACTTCGTACCGCCATAAAAAAATAGGGGTTGGTGATAAAATAGTAAAAATTAAGGAGTTGTATGTATTTTTGTATGACGTATCATAAAAAAAAATAATGGTGGACCATTTAACATTTAGGAGGAAGAAAAATAGATGTTGTCCGATTCTCAAACCTACTGATTACTTTTACCATTTTAAAGTTTCCAGAACAACACCGAATTTGCCGCGGTCGTGCTAGGCGTGTTCTTTCTAGCACAACAGTCTATTTCCAAGAATTGATAGAAATAAGCGTAAGAAAAAGTAATTATTTAAAGCTATTTAATAACATTTTGAAATTTAATAATAACTCTGTTTCTGTGTGATCGTGCTATGAAGTATTCTTCTTAGCACGACCATCGAAAACTTCTGCCTAGATCTAAGAGATAACTAGACCTAGGCAGAAGTTTTCAAAACAATGGTAAATAATAGTAAAAAATCTTTTTAAATTTAACCGTCTAAAAATATTAGAAAAACATCCATGGTCGTGCCAGGAAGTACAACACCTTTTCATTAACATTAAGTCCAAAGAACCCCAGCCTCATGATTTCAGTATCTTTTATAGAGGATACATATCATGGGTAGGTACATAAAGTCTTGTATGCAACTGTTCAAAATTAGGTATTAAAAAACGAATGTGGTTTTATCACACGAGGAGAAGCCGAGTATTACATGAGTATTATACAACAGTTGCATCAATAAGTATTGTATATTACAACTGAAGCACCCCCGGTTGGAGTCTTTTTTGGTCCGGCCCATTTTAGACTTCATTTTATTGTGACCTTTACATTTAAAACGCTGAATTAATATTTTTGTGGCAAAAATAAAACTTTAACGGTGTGGAAAAGGAAATAAACGTGTGAATATGTTCAACTAATAATAACACGCGGAGGAAATTGCACCAGAAAACTAGTCGTAATTATAATGAAATTTAATGGTTACTAGGTATCTCGGATCTTCAGATTTAAACATCTAGCAGTTAAATGTTGAAAAAATAAAAATGATATCTTAGATGTTTATTATAATTACAATAGGAAAACACTAACATATCGAGTCCAATTTATTGGATATTCATTACAATAAACACCTAATTAAATTTTACTTATAATGTGTTTGTATTTATATCTTTAGTGACCCATTTGAGGCTCGAAGAAGTAACATTGTGTAAAATAAGCACCCTGTGCTCCTGTATAGTATGGTTTGTAGTTATATATTAAAGAATCTGTTTCTTCTTTTTCATCAATGAATTTGTGCGAATTCCTCTTGCACTCTTCCACAAAGAAATCCATAAAATATCGTTGCGCATCTATGGCATCGCGTGAACGTAAATATTTGTTCTTTTTGTTCCATTCAAAGGCTGGCTTCTCCGGGTGAAATTGTACTCCGTAAAATGGGTATCTGTAAAAAAAAACAATTTATTAATTAAAATCAAAGTCCACTTTTACTACCAAGTAACATCTGCCAGAGCAACATCAACTAAAGGAAAATATCCGGTCTGCATTCACTATTTCATATTTCTTAAAATAAGCAAAAATTTCATGTTTACTGTTTGCAATTAAAGAGTTCTATCATTTCCCTCCAGATGCTCATCAGCATCAGATGGTCATAAATGAACATGGAACTTTCTCGCCAAAAAAATGGTCTTAAAAATGGTCATCAAAATTAGTTTAAAAATCTCTGAGATAATACGAAATAAAAAAAAGAATGAGCATACCTATGATAGTTGTTACTATTTTTTATTTTGGGGAAATATCTCACTCAAGAAACACTTTACAGTTATAACCTATGTGAATTAATATACTTAGCACCTTATCAAATAGTTTTTTATAATTAATTAAACAATTATGGTTTTCGAGAAAATAAACAAAAAATAAAACTACTCTCTGTCACAACTCTCCTATCACCGAGGTAAGTTGTGACAGCTTTGTGTCTAGACTATTTGAGTATTAACAAACACCAACACATATTATAATATGCCCTGATGTTTGTTAATACTCAAATATTGATAATGAAACGTGTCTTTTTTTCTTGCCAAAAGTAATTTAACCGTCTTTTACCACATCAAATACCTACAACATTGTCAAAACAAGTAATTATGTCTAACTAGTGGCCCGCCCTCGCTTCGCTTCGGTGTAGAGCTGTAGTGTAGACTATAGTTATTCTCAGGCTTGTATTATACACAATGATTTTTTTCATATAATTATAACCCTTGCGTGAAAATTTATTTAACTGATAGTAAAAATTTTGTTGCGTAGTTTTGAACCCGTTGTATAGAATGCACCATTGCTCTGCTGTTAAATAAAGTGTGTCCATCTTACCATTAGCCAATGCCCTTATTATTAAATGTATCTAGTAATGCAGTGGTTTGTACACACCCATTACTTTTATCACTCATAATTATTGCACTAATCGTCGCGTCGGATGTTTCTTATGTGATTCTGATAATAGAAATTAGTACATTTTGTTTTGACTCAACACGCGTGGCATGGCGTCGCGTTTCATAAGTCTGACTCGGCCATATCGTTTTTTTTTTGGTTGTAAGGCCATAAGTTATATAAAATCACGCTAGGACCAGTAGGAAAGCAGCATAGATGAAAAATGTTGCAAAAATATGTAAAATTATTCCATTTGTGGACTTTCGTTGCGCGCGCTGGGTAAACGGTTTGTCACACAAAAATTATGTATGACGGAATTGTTTCCCTTTAAAAGTTGTATAAAGAAGTCCGGGACAGCATATGTCCATTTTTTATGTGTTTGACTCAGTATAACCTTTTTCTTCGAATTCACGCGAGTGAAACCACAGGGGATTTCTTGTGACCTAACTGTAATAGATAGACATGTGGTACTGCAAACTCTTTTGTACCTATTTTTATCTTCTATAACACTTTAGTACATCACTTTGCTCTATTGTTTATGACTTCCGCAGCGTACGCGATATAAGGTTATCTTTTTGTATTTTCTTTTACACATTGTCAAAAACACTATCGAAGTTTTCACACGGAACCCTAACTTTTTTGAAAACACTCTACAGCCTTTGTTCATCAAGGAAAATGTAGGATTCTGAATGTGAAAGATTTTTTCAAAACGGTCCAGTACTTTCGGAGTCTATTCAATACAAACAAACAATCAAATCTTTCCTCTTTTTAATATTATAGTATAGATTTAGATAAATATTCGTGCCAAGTTTCAAGACTAATAACTCAAGGAATGATTTTTCATACAAACCTTCATACTCTATTTTAACCCCTTCGGGGGTGAATTTTGAAAAATCCTTTCTTAGTGCACCCTAAGACCTCATAAGAAACCTACCTACCAAATTCAGATGCCAGATTAGCTAGTGGTTTGGGCTGTGCGTTGATTTGTCAGTCAGTCACTCAGTTTCTTCTTTTATATATTTAGATAAGTAATTTTGAGATATTCGAGATTATATTCAGTCAGCAATTTTAATTAATCTGATAGGCAATCATAACAAACGTATTGAAGCTCGCCTCCAGTACAACTCAAAATCACGACTTGTTCCGAATAATAATTCATATTAATTTTCTAAATAAGATAGAAACACAAAAGATCAGTGCGACGCTTTGAGACTTAAATAACCAAACAATTTGAGAATTAACAACACAACAACGCTACATAAATTCAATCAAAATTTTAAAGAAAAACCTAATTTTAACGTTTTTTGTACGTAAACGTCGTAATTACGCAACCACTTCTGGTGCGCCCCCGCGGGTTCTGAGTGAAAAAGCACATATCTTAAGCTACAAAAGAGCGTTATTGCCTCAGATGCCTCACAGTACAAAAGGCAGATGGAGCACACGGAACGCGCAATGCGTGGCACCAAAGCAAATACAAAGTCAAAAGTAAAGACTGCTTTTTTTGGTCCTTGTGATCAATTTTTACAATATTTGAACGAGGCGGCACAGTTTTATACAGCTTATTATTATTTGTTGGGAGAAATCGTTTTTGTCACGACTCACCTAGGTTTCCCCTACTGACGAAATAAACCTCAAATAAACCTTTCTTGTGTAAAATGTTTGTCTTTTGTTGTACGTTATTTTATTAATAACTGCTTAATTGTTATTTTAGAAAGTGTATGTTATATATTTCGTGTCAGTGGAACCAAAGCGAGTGGAATGTCGCATGGCCTGGACTTGACAGATTGACATTTAAATATACGAAACCTAAACTTGTGTTCCGGATAGAATCGGCTGGCTGGCTACGATTTTAGTTTGGGGAAATGCCTAATCAAAATATAAATTGTAATTGTTCGTAACCCGAAAAACCGGCCATGTGGGTTTTTACTCATGAAGTGAAGAAATCAACGCTTTTGGTGTAGATTTCTTGATTTCAATTTAATATTATTGGTGTACAACATCTATTGAGGCGAGTATGACAAGAGCAACATACAGACCGAATTTAAAAACATCCACCGCTTTAAAGTCATGTGATGTGAATGAGCTTATAATATACCATCGTAATCGTGTACGTCGTTGATGTTTCGTGCAGCATTTGCCGCTTTGCTGCCACGACGGTACTCGTGCTCTATAATAATCACTCGAATGTTTAACGTATGCATGATTACTCTTTTATTTGACGACCTCCGTGGTCGAGTGGTTTGTACGCCGGGTTTCATGGTGTCGCCGACTCGAGAGATCCCGGGTTCGAATCCCGGTGGGGGCAGATGTTTGTGTGATGAATACGAGCATTTGTACTCCAGTCATGGATGTTTAATATATATTTCTATATAAATATACTTATATATGTACAGTATTTGTATTCTATCCGTTACCCTAGTATACCATAATAACACAACCCTTACTGTGCTTACTTTGGGGCTAGGCTAATTGGTGTGAATGTTGGAAATATTTATTTATTTACTTAAAACGAACAAATACGCTGAAAACAGAACGCGAACCATTAAACAAATGAATAATTTTCAAAAGTAGGCAGCTATTACTAGATTTCTGCGCTGAGAATGATTTTACAATAATAAATTACTTGGTTCCAACAACATGTCAGTAGAGATACTTGGACAGATGTCCAAGAGATCTATCTACTGAAGATCCAGATGGTAACTACAAGAACTAGATTGATTAAGTACTAATGGGTAACATTGGGTAGTATTGGAATAGGAGGCCAACTTATCAACAAACTACGTTTCGCCAATGACACGACCATAACAGATGCCAGCTAACGAGAACTGGCTCCCCTACTGCGCAAGGTCCAAGATGTCAGCGTGGAATATGGCCTTTGTATAAACCGTGACAAAACCTAGTTTATGTTTGTTGATACAGTTAACAAATTGTCAAGAACCTTTGAGCTGAGTGATTTAGACACAGTTACCAGTTTTGTGTATCTGGGATCACTTATACGCAATGACGGGGACTGCAAGGCCGAAGTGGTCAGACGCAGACAGAGGACATAGGCTGCTTTGAAGTCTTGAAGAGGATTTTAAAGAACAGAGGAATTACTAAATCCATCAAAGTGCAGCTGATGCGTACCCTGGTCTTCTCGATTTTTTTTTACGCTTCGGAGTCCTGGACGTTGAAAATGCTACGTACTTTGGACTACACGAAGAACTAATGCATATATCCTGAAGGAACTGGATATCAAGACCAAGGTATGGGATCTGAAGTAGTAAAATTCAATCTGCATGCAACGCCCCCTTAAATACTTCGGTCATGTAGCGAAGAGAAGGCCAGATAATTTTGAAAAGATTCTGGTCGTAAGAAACGTGGAAGGCAAAAGGAGAAGGGGCAGTTCTCCGTCGCAGTGGTTGGACAAAGTTAAATAAACCACGAATGGCAACTTGCAGACGTCCATCAGCCTTACATAACGGCCTGGAGATCGCTGATGAAATGTGCTGTCCTGAAAGTTCATGAGTTTAGCCATGAGGGAACGACGAAGAAGTAGAATTATTAAAAAGAATTCCATATTTTAAAAAATAAGGAAACAATAGATTATTGGAATAGTGCTGCAAATTTACAAATTCTATAGGTTTTTCTTTTTAATAATATAAGTACCGAGCTTGAACTATTATTCATTACTAGTGGCCCGCCCTCGCTTCGCTTCGGGGTAGAATTAATCAAAATCTTTCTTAGCGGATGCCTACGTCATAACATCTACCTGCATGCCAAATTTCAGCCCGAACCGTCCAGTGGTTTGGCTGTGTGTTGACAGATCACTATGTCAGTCAGTCAGTCACCTTTGAGTTTTATATATATAGATTTGATAGTATTTTATTCCTCACAGTACTGTAGGTGGCAGAACCGTAAAAGAAATGAAAATAAAGCTGAAACGCCTGTGTAATACTATCTACCTATACCTACTTCACTTTAAAATAAATATACTTATAACTACTTTCATTAATAAAAGTACCTACGCTTAATATTTTTAATTTGAACGAATATTTAAACACTACCAAAACAACTAATACCTATTTTACAAAATATTAGCAAAAAAAATTCAAATAAACTATTTAAAGACTAAAAGTCGCGCTGATAAGCACGGTTTCTCAGTATCAATAATTATTGTCTGTCAATAAGGTCGAACGCTCTGAACGCATCAACAGCCAAATATTGAACTCGGACCTCCCGCCTTTTTATACCCTACCGCGCCGCCGCGACCCGTGTCGAGCGCGGCAACCGTTACACAAAAATAATCCTTATAGCATGATTCAGTATTCACGTGCGACGGCGCGATGGCTTATTTCATGTATAAGTTTGGTGTTTCTATACCGATTTCTATAATTCTTTTTTTATTGAATGATAATGTTAACTTTTTTAAATAAGCGATGAGTGAGAGTATTATAAACGTAAGAGTAAACAAATATAATCATAATGCTCCGAACTGCTAAGCTATCAGGAGTTACACGTGTTATTGTGAGTCAACCATAAAAGATAGACATGTGGTGTTGCGGGATATTTTTTAGACAATTTTATGTAGAATATTTCTGTCATACATGATTTCTATGTAACTTTAACCATTAAGGCTGCACACGCGACGGAAGCTTAAAAAATGGAGTAACTTCTCCCGTTTTCCCAACATTTCCCTTCACTACTCTGCTCCTATTGATTGTAGCGTGATGAAAAGTATACTATAACCTGCTCAGGAGTATGAAGAATTATTGTACCAAGTTTCGGTAAAATCCGTCGAGTAGTTTTTGTTTCTATAAGGAACATACACACAGACAGACAGACAAAAATTTTACTGATTGCATTTTTGGCATCAGTATCGATCACTAATCACCCCTTGATAGTTATTTTGAAAATATATTTCATGTACAGAATTGACCTCTGTACAGATTTATTATAAGTATAGATTATTGTTTCCCTGTTTTTTCGAACAAAACTAAAAAGTGCCAATAATAGGAAGAGTGGCAATGATTGGGTGCTTGCCCTTCCTATTCATTTAATTAAAATTGGTGTACTGTATCAAAAGTTATTACAATTTAAAACCTCGCAGATTTGGGTAATATGATTTCATAGAAATTTTAAGTATCTGTAGTGATAACACATGGCGCTAATTTATTTCTATATCGAGATGGGTTTACAAAACGTTCTTCATTAAACTTTTTCAAAATAGTTTCTCTGTTACTATTTAACTACTTACTTGACGACCTCCGTGGTCGAGTGGTTTGTACGCCGTTTCATGGTGTCGCCGACTCGAGAGGTCCTGGGTTCTATCCCGGCGGGGACAGATGTTTGTGTGATGAATACGAGCATTTGTACTCCAGTCATGGATGTTTATAATGTATTTCTAAATAAATATACTTATATATGTACAGTATTTGTATTCTATCCGTTACCCTAGTATACCATAACACAAGCCTTACTGTGCTTACTTTGGGGCTAGGCTAATTGGTGTTAGTGTTGGAAATATTTATTTTACTATTATAATTTACCATATAATTATTTGTTTTCACTTATATATTCATCTCTTATCTATTAGTCCGTCCGTCCGTCTGTCTGTGGTGCTGTTTCAGCGGCCAAACCGTAAGAGATAGATAAAGAGAATGTTTAAGTTATAAGTTAAGAATAGTCTGATAAGACTACAAACCGGATTTGAGTAACGTAGCACTTCCGGTTTTCGAGAAATCACGAATTTCAAACGAAACCACACAAAATCTCCTAAGTTCTCAATTAATTAAATACATTTTTTTTTTAGATCAGGTTTTGTTGAACATTTGGTTCACTGGTTTGCTAGTTACTTTATAAGTTAATGACGAGTTATGTTATGTTGTGATGTAAGAAATTCGATAGTCGGTAGAGTATGCCATAGACCCATCAGAATCCGATTAAAGAAATCTAATCACTGTGAGTGTTTGACGTATATCATACCTATGATTATATCGTTTCAGTAAATCAAACGATAAATCAAAACCACCATTTACCGTTTCTGATTTTCCTATTTTTTTATAGGTAAACTAGCATTATGGCCTGCTTGATTATAAGCGGCCACCACAGCCTATAGACACCTGCAATACCAAAAATATCACTCGCACCGTTACCACGGTAATATTATCTATACAGTATTGTGACTCCGCCCTGTCCTTGAAAATAAATGCCTACACCGAGCGCTGCGTTGGCACGCGGTAGGGCCGCCAGCCTACAGTATTTTATGTAGTTTTTTTTTAACGCGAGTGTAGGTAGATTACTCGTTTGTCTCTTTTTTCATCCTAACCACTTATTTATATATTATTCCAGATATTTTGCCCGATAGAAAAACCGAAATACCTAAATATTAGAAACAAATAACGTAATAGTAGATAGGTATATAAAAAATATTCTATAAAGGTAAGACACCTTTCCAATATTTCAGGTAATTTAAAAAATGATATCTCTGGGTGTGTTATTGAAGAGCTCAAGCAACCAAAAACAGCATTTGTGCTATTGTACGATATTAATAATAATAATAATAATCGTCGTTTGTTCTTTTCCATACTAAATTATGTAGGTATCTACTTAATTAAATCAAATATTTACAATACAAAACGCACGTTTAAGCACGGCTAACTGCATAAAAAACAATTCAGACCGTTCGGTCGTCGTTGCGGCGCGGCGGCGCATTCGCGACTGGGTGCCCGCCGAGAGCACATCGAACTCGAGTGGCGTAGGTATGACTCGCTTTCCGACCGTTTGTATGAAGATAGAATACTGTATGATATTACACTTCTGGACACATCTATTGGCCCACCTTAGAGTTTAGGTTTCGATGGCCCCTACCGAAATATGATTGCAAGATTGAACAAAAACTGTTGATGCAGTTTTAAACCTGATACATTTTACCATCTTTTTCGATCGTATTGTTTTAAATTTGAATTCAGAATACCATACGACATGGAGCTACGCCTAACAAGTCGGATATGCGCCTTGTTAAAGGCAATGGATTTTTGAATAAAAAACATGTTTTATCAAATAAAGGTTTAATTTAATAACGCGTGTTGCCTCCATGGGCATCTACCACAGCTCTCATACGATTAGGCATAGAGTTTATCAACCGCTCTATGAAATTTTGAGGGATCATCTCCCATTCCTCTTCTATGGCAGTTTTCAACTCCTGCATCGTCTGAGCAACTGGCTGTCGAGCCCTAACACGTCTTTTTAGCTCGTTCCACATGTGCTCAATGGGGTTCATGTCTGGGCTTCTGGCTGGCCAGTCCATAACTGTGATGTTCACATCCCGAAGATATTCCCTGACGATGCCGGCCGCATGGGCTCTTGTATTATCATGCATAAAAAGGAAATTTGGGCCCACATAGTCCGCGTATGGTATCACGTGAGGTTCTAAGCACTCACGAATGTACCTTTCAGCATTTAATGTTGGCAGCCGTGGTCCTGTAACAACCTCAAGTTGAGTTTTGCCGCTCGCGGATATACCGCCCCAGACAGTCCATGAGCCACCGCCATAAACAACCCTCTCTTCAAAGCAGCATTGTGCGAAACGCTCTCCCTTACGTAGGTAGACCTTCTTCCTTCCATCATTGCCATGTAACACAATTTTAGACTCATCAGAAAAGAGTACACGGCTCCAATCTTGCTGTGTCCAATTTAAATGACTGCGTGCGAAATGAAGGCGCGCTGTTCGGTGGGCTCGCGTTAGTTTGGGCCCATTAGCTGGCTTTTGTGGTACCATATCGCGTTCTTTTAACCTTCTCCGAACAGTTCGAGCGCTCACAGATACTCCGTGGAAGTCGCGAATTTGTTTTTGTATCTCAATGGAGGTAAGGTGACGATTTCTCAAGCTGGTCGTCACGATGAATCGATCCTGCCTTTCAGTTGTGACCCGAGATCGTGGCCTTCCTTGGCGACGAACAAAGCCGCCAGTCTCTAGGTACCTCCGATAAACATTTCGGACCGCAGATCGACTTAAATTAAGTTGAGCACTCACGTTTCTTTGGCTGTGTCCGGCCTGAATAAGTGCCACAGCTTGGGCGGCGACTTCAGTTGAAGTATCCATAGATTATTGATAGAACCTCACCTTAATGTTAAGAATAAGTAATGTTTGTTGCAAAACCAAAGATATCAATCACTTTTTCAAGAATTAAATCCAAGTAAACCAATAAAACCAAGTTTTCTTAGTATTCGATTGTTTGATATCAACAAACAGGCTCCAAATTGTCTTTTGTTTCTTTAAATTCTGTGTTCGAAATTCAAAAAAAGACTATTGAATGAAATTGTGAATGTGCCAGGTTCAAAACTGCATAAAAACTTTTTGCTCGACCTAATATAAAATTTTAGCTAGAACCAAACGAAACTGAAAATACAAGGTGGGCCAATAGATGTGTCCAGAAGTGTATTACCGTGCCGTTACCTACCCTGGCCCAATCCCCTGTCCCCTGGAGCCCTGGTACCTTACTCACCGACAGAAAGACAACACCACCAAAAGGTAAAAAGGTAATATTATTTTACTGTGATCTTCCATATGGTATATAGGGCTACATTGCGATCAACATTATCAATAAAAAAAAAATGACAAACAGAACTTCAATACTACTAATAAAAATAAAATAAAGTTGCAAATGAAAGGTAGAATTACGCCTATTTTTGTTTAACCTAAAGCAAGAAATACAAAAAAATGTTCATGCTAATTCATTTATACACATAGTTTTAATTTTTCCCTGTTTGGGCAAAAGTTACCTACCGTAAATAATCCCTTTCTAACGTACCTTCTATGTTCAATGCTGGATATAAATTTCTTTCCCTGATTGTCCATGCTGTGAGATGATACACGCCAGTCTTTTGTAAGGTTATATCTCTCCAAGTTCTGAAAAAAAAGTATGCACATAAAGTCATATTGTTTGAAACTATCTTAGCCGCTAGCTATCTTAGGGTTGGTAGAGGGAGAGGGAGTGTAGCACCCGCTACCACTCCCCTACGGAACGGTATAGTTTCCAAGATATTCTTGGTGAAAATTTAGAGGTTATAATTATACTAAATGCCATTTTTCTCGAATCATGGTCGCACCACTAACCTTACCCAGTATTTTTTTATTAAAGTGAAGTGACAAACGTCACAACTACTAAAAGCTTAAAGAGAACTTTAATTTAATTGCAGAAACGATCGAACGGATTTAATTACACGAACGACAAATAGAGGGGCAGCTGGGTAAATGAATCGAATGGCGCTCTCTGATTCGGCGCAAATTAGTGGTCGCTGTCATCTCGCACACTCGCGCCAAATCTTGCAGTGACTATGTCACAATAAAAGAATATAATTTATTTATAATGATCCTAAGTAATAATATTAGACCAGGGTCGATAATTTTAAAAATGGTGAAAAGTGAAAAAAAATTATAGTAGGATGAAACAAATTAGAAAAGGTAGAGAATATAACAAAAATGAAAGGAAAAATAAATTACGGGCGATCTGAGGTCGGGGAGGGGGAGGGGGTGAGTTTTTAAGGGTAAAAATCGTTAATCTCGATTTCCGGTAAAACTGCAAGTCCTATGAAAAAAAATTAAATGGCAAAGTTGTAGGTAATAAAAAGATCTACAACTTTTGTGGCGACACTTTTTTCTCACAACCTCAAAATTTATGTGAAAAATGCGAATAACCGAGTTTTTGGTTTTTGATTTTTATTTTTTGCAAAAAAAAATATTTTTTCACGAAATTTGGTGAAAACTTACCTTTGTATGTCCCAAACATACAGTATTTTTTTTTTATTTAAAATATTCATTTTTTCACCTTATTTTGACTTAATATCCAAAAAGCACCCTGATTTTCAATCGAAAATTCTCACGTCAAAATATCTGCTTTTTTAAAAAAGTTGGGGTGTTTTTTGTTTGTCGAAATCTCTACTTTCTGATGGTATAAAAAAAATATACACTACTATGATAAATGTTCTCAGAAAATGCAAATTAATAATGAAAAAAACTCGAATCCGAAAATCCTATTTTTAATACCTACTTACAACAACTATTTTTGCATGTTTTATGGATTTGTAATTTTTCTGTTTATCAATATAACATGAAATCTTACGTTTTTCGAGTAATTAAAGTGTAAATTTTAATAAATAGTTCAAAATTATACATAATGATTCAAATCAATTTTTCGGATTGGAGTTTTTTTCATTATTAATTTGCAGGTTCTGAGAACATTTACCATAGTAGTGTATATATTTTTTATACCATCAGAAAGTAGAGATTTCAACAAACAAAAAACACCCCAACTTTTTTAAAAAAGCAGTTATTTTGACGTGAGAATTTTCGATTGAAAATAAGGGTGCTTTTTCGATATTAAGTCAAAATAAGGTGAAAAAATGAATGTTTTAAATCAAAAAAATTACTGTATGTTTAGGACATACAAAAGTAAGTTTTCACCAAATTCGTGAAAAAATAATTTTTTTGCAAAAAATAAAAATCAAAAACCAAAAACTCGGTTATTCGCATTTTTCACATAAATTTTGAGGTTATGTGAAAAAAGTGTCGCTACAAAAGTTGTAGATCTTTTTATTACCTACAACTTTGCCATTTAATTTTTTTTCATAGGACTTGCAGTTTTACCGGAAATCGAGATTAACCATTTTTACCCTTAAAAACTCACCCCCTCCCCCTTCCTGACCTCAGATCGCCCGTAATTTATTTTTCCTTTCATTTTTGTTATATTCTCTACCTTTTCTAATGGGTTTCATCCTACTATAATTTTTTTTGGTCTCAAAAATTATCGACCCGGGGCCCAATTCTCGCGGCGTAGATATTATATCGTCTTCGAGATAATATCGAAAGAAGGGATATCTATTGAAAATATCTACTGATGGTAAAAAATGCTATTCTCGTGGATTTTCGATATTCCAATGATATTATATCTATCGTAGATATTCTTTCACTGCCGAATGCGTTCCGTTTTTCTCGATTAAGTTAACATCATAGTCTATATAAAATAATAATAAATTAGAGCAGAATTTTACAAGCAACAAAATGATATTTTATGAATTCCATTCATATTAAATATGAGTATACATTTTTTGAGTATAAGAAATCTCAACTTTACCTAAATTGTATGCGTTTATAATTTCAACGTTATGTATAATGAAACGTCAATATTATTTAAGATTCTCCCTTTTCAGGGAAGGCAAAGGGAACAATGCCCATAAAGCCTAGTCTTTAGTTATATTAATCTTCTTTTTTTTACATTCGAATGTCGGTGTGACGCATTCTAATGTTTTTTGGAGTGTTTGGCACGAAATTTATAGAGTTGGCTTTTTCTCTAAGCTTCTGTGAGGTATTCAACACTACAATAAAGTTCTCGAGTCCACTTAACCGGAATAGCGTATATTTTAAAGATTCCACTAATTCTTCAGTTGCGCAGACGGTTGTAACACCAAATCACACCAATTTTATTTCACAATATCCACTATGAACGAATTTTAGAATAATTAAAATAAGATGCCAACCGCACTCGCAGAAATCCCGCCAAAACTCCGTATCGTCAATAAGAAAATGGTGTCGATTCTGGCATGATTCTCTAAACCTAAACGTAAATTTGACAGCAGTGTATCCTTGTCATTCTCCATACAGAATGAAAAGGAGAGACTGATGTTAAATTTAGTTCTAAGTTTAGAGAATTGTGTCAGAATCGATACCAATGTCATTCATAACTTTAAAGATTTCTAACCAAATTTTTGTTTAAACGTAATTTTTTTATGAAGTCGGCGTCCCTCATTTCAAATGGGCCCTCTTGCTCTCACAACGGCGGCGCCTTAGCACAGCAGCAGCAATCACGTCATTTATTAAATCATTGACGAAAACATGAATCAACTCATCCATCGTTAATATAAACTGGTGTCGATTCTGGCACGATTCTCTAAATCTAAACTTAAACTTGACAACAGTGTTTCCTTGTCATTCTCTATACAGAATGAAAAAGAGAGACTGATATTAAATTTATTTTTAAGTTTAGAGAATCACGCCAGAATCGACACCATTATTTACCTACTTCTTTATTTACTAATTATTTATGAAGGCAGTTAACAACGTCTTGAGGTAACAATAATTGGCAAAGACACACTACAACACAATAAATAATAGGTAAAAAAAGTGGAAATAATAAGATTGACATGCCAAGATCCATAGATATTTATATATCGAAGGCTCTCTACCAGTCGATGTATGTCTACTGATCATCCGTAGATAAATATCTATTGCGACATGGTGAGAATAGGGCAAAAAGGTTTTCCTTCGATAAAAGCCAGATCATTCGATATATATCGAAGGTGATATAATATCTATGCCGCGAGAATTGGGCCCCTGGTCTATATGTGATGTAGACATGGGCGTTTTTTGTTTTGAACGCAAACGGATATTTATCGGATTTCAGATTTCAAAATCGATTTTAAAATCCGTTTTTAAATATCCGATTTCAGATGTGCCGAACTTAGCCAATTCACTAGTTTGTGTTATGATTTGGTTTTATTAGCTAACGACAATCACAAACAATTAATTGTACGAAGCAAGCATACTCGTAGATTTGCGCGATTTTCCTTTATGCTTTAAATATAGGCTTAGGCAAGAGTATATATTCTGTGGCTTAGGACTAGCAGAAAAGTTATCTTTACGGTTAAGAGTAAAACTTTTGCGGCGCATTTAAAAATCGGCTTATATACACAATGATTTCTTTTTACATATTTTATTAGTATTTTTTTTGTTTTTCTGTTTGTTTTTATTATTTTTCAAACCATTTACAAAATGAAACCTAATTACTACAGGTTAGCGTTCAAAAAATGTCAGTTGCTCGACTTTTGATGCTTTTAGACGACATCTCTTTTCAGTGATAAATAATCCCGCCTTAGAGAAGAGCAATAGATTTCCGTAAACAGCAAACCGAAATCGGACTTCCGAGCACGAAATCGGACTTCCGAAAACGAAAGCACGAATTTCGAATCCGATTTACATTTGGATACTAGTGGTGGTATTAGATCGCTAGCGGTTTGGTTCGGTTAGATTTCTGAAATCGGATTTTCTCGTTGAGAAATCGTTCGGTATCGATTTGTGTTTGAAATCGGATTTTGGATTCGTTTTGATATATCGGACGCATACCTAATGTGATGTTGTCTATTGAAGTTTGAATGATATTTTTTGAAGAGCTTGTTTTGAAGTTGTATAACGTAAAATTATGATAAGTTGTAAAACCCGTGGCCGAGTTAGTAAATTACGAAGCCATGCATTAATCAGAAGGACAAGTAAAAGTGTTTGTTGATCTTGACTTGACGCTTCCTTCAAAATATTTAGTTGACGTTGTAAAAAAGATGAATTTGTTTAATAGAAGCTAACTCATTTTCCCGTTATTTTTAAAAAGAGAAGTTTAATCACGTGGCTATACAAAAATTCTGTTGTCTGGACTTATAATTTCACTTTGGGTTTTTCTATCTACTGGAGTTGGCATTTAGTATTGATAATGAAGATTTATTAACACAAACAGAATGTTGTTGTTCTAGGAGTACCTACTATTACACGAGAAATCTTTTCTTCTTTTTCTCTATTTATTTTACAGAACTTTCGTGTTACATTTATACATTTCAGTCCCATCGTGAAAGTAAAATGTAATATTATGTTCGAAATTCCCAATATTTCTAATTAAACTTTGTGATGCAAATTTATAAACTATAAAAGCTTCTATGGACGTTGACTCTGAAAGAAAGCAAGGGAATAATCCCAACAGCTTATTTAACGATTTTCAAATCCACAACTATTTTGTCTCTTATGTCCCCATTCCTTACACATTCCATTATGAAATGTTTGGTTAAAGGTTTTATCACAATCCGCATAAT